GGGCTCTGGGCTGGAGCAGGTAGTTGGGGTCGGGGAGAGGGGGAGGGCTCCAGCTGGGGGTGCAGGCTCTGGGGTGGGGCCGGGGAGTGAGAGGTTTGGGGTACAGGAGGGCACTCCGGGCTGGGGTGTGGGACCAAGGGGTTCGGAGTGTGGGAGGGGGCTCCAGGCATTGGCGCGGGGGCTTTGGGTGCAGGAGTGCGGGCTCTGGGAGGGAGGTTGGGTGCAGGAGAGGGCTCAGGGCTGGGGTGGGAGGTTGGAGTGCAGGAGGGGTCCAGGCTCTGAGAGGGCGTTTAGGTGTGGGAGGGGACTCAGGGCTGGGGTGGGGGGTTGGAGTGTGGGAGGGGTCCAGGCTCTGGGAGGGAGTTTAGGTATGGGAGTTGGGTCAGGGCTGGGGCATGGGGTTGGGGTGTGGGAGGGGGTGCGGTTCTGGGCACGCTTACCCCAGGTGGCTTGCGGAAGTGGCCGGCATGTCCTGCCGGCTCCTAGGCACAGGGGCAGCCAAGGGGGCTCCGTGCGCTATCCCTGCCTGCAGCTCCGGCGCTTCCCTGAGCTGTGGGGGCAGTGCCTGCAGATGGGGGCAACACATGGAGACCCCTGTCCGCCTCTGTGCCTAGGAACTGGCGGGACATGCCGGCCACTTTTAGCGGCCTGATCAGCTGTGCTGACCGGAGTTGCCAGGGTCCCGGATGCCTGGCGACCCTAATACTGGGTGAGCACTGATATACCAGAGTCTGCCTCAATATATCAGAGTAAGCCTAACTATACTGAGGTGAGCCCCAATATACTTGGGTTGGGCCCCACTATACCAGGGTAGACACCCTTTTCCAGTATGAGCCCCACTCTATGTGAGTAAGGCCCTTTATACCAGGGTCATCACCTTGATACCAGGGTAAGCACAGATGTGTTGGGATAACTGCATCCACATGGAGCGATACAGATCTAACCATCTTGGTTTCAAGTCAATATTATAGCGGAGTGATAGCACCACCATACTCAAGGGTGAGGCTTGTTTGCTGTTTACCCTCCTCCACAGAACAGAGAACCCCACCCAAAAATTTCTGCATCAAGCCCCAAGCTTCTATAAGAGCTACATTATATCTACATCTGGTCTTAATTGAAAGACTTCAAGTGACAGAGAAGCCATCACATCATCTGCAAAGCCTCCTTCCTACGAGATCTGCTGCCCTACAGGTGTGCTCTGTAATCTGGTGTGTCACATCAGTGGCTTTGTCTGAATTAGACTGGAAGCTTCTGGGGGCAATCGCCTTGTCTTCCTCTTCGCACTGGCTGTGCTCGCTTCAAGAATGAAATAATATCTGGGCTTCATTTGTGATCCCAGGACTGTGCCTTAGCAGGATCGCTGGGCCAAGCTGCTCCTTGCCTATTCCATATCTCGTTGGGTTATAAGGCCTCTGAAAGGGGAATGATGCAGAGCTGGACCCTAGTTTCATTCCCACCACGGCAGATGCTTACTCTCGTCTTTACTCAGATGTCTCATCTAAGCACCTTCCTGCTCTTTGTTAACCTTTGTTACTTGGAAGTGGGTTTCTCTGACCCAACACGGTCACCATGGGAGCAGAACAGGTTGCTAAGTCTTGCAGTGGAGTGGTTACCGCAGTAACAAGGAGATAAAGTGGTTGTTATGACAATTTGAAGGAAGACTGATCACCATGGCAGTGGCCTTCTGCATGAGAGCACTAATGGCCAGGTGGGGAGGGGGCCCCGTGAAGCAGGACAGCAACAGGATTTCCCTGGTTGCCACAGTAATACAAAGTTAATCTCAAGTTCCCAGGATGCAACTTGGGACCCCATTGAGGGCAAAAATGGGAAGGTGTCACCAGCCAAAAAAGTAAATAAACTTACTGGTAAGTTGAGAAAAGTGACTGGAGGAAGCAGGCAGGTGGGTGAGCGAAGCTGAGCACCCATGCTCCATTACCCCGAGGAGAGGAGGAGACCTTCAGTCGCCAGGAAGGGACTCGTTGCTTCTCTTCCGACAAGATGCAGGGTGACAAAATGGATCCCAACGTGATGGACGTACCTTCACCCCATCCCACCGAGTGAACCCCCAAACCAGAAGGAGTCTGAGATCCCGGGGGCTGGGGCAAGACAAAGTCCAGGGAAAGAAGAAGAAGCAGGAGCAGAATTGCTTTGATTTTGATTTTGCGTGCTAGAAAAGAGGAAACCAACCAACCAGCCTACGGCTGAAATAAACCAGTGAGGAAAGTGAAGGATTCACAAGCGCAGCAGGGCGGAGCTGTCTTCTCAGCCCAGGACCAGCTGCTTCAGGAGCAAGAGGTGGAATATTTCTGGGGCAAGAAAACAAGTGGTGGTGTGTGTTTTGACTCGGTGCGTGACGGATTTGCCAGCAGCCTGCCCCTTGCGGACAGCTGCCCCAATGCTGGATCGCAGAACCAGGATGGACAGCTCCAAGAAGGAGAAGGTAACATTTCTAGTTCTGGCTCTCCCTTAGCTTTGTGGGGCGATGAAGGTGCTGCCTGGGTGGATAGCGGATTAATCAGTAGGCCCCATCCTAAACCAGTGGTGGACTCCTTCAGTGCACCTCTGCAAAAGGCAGACCTTTCTGGGAACCCCCAGCTTCATTTAGTGCCCATCCATCACCCCTTGTTCCACTAGACTCCAAATCCTGCTGACATAGAAGTTGACACCCAATTTTTCAAGGATGTCTCAATTTCTGGAGACCCAGTTAGTGCCCAGGTCAATTCTGGACACTCAAAAATCTGAGGCATCCAAACTCAGAAGGTGCCTTTGAACATTTGGGCTTTAATTTCCAGGTTCGCTAGTGAAGCAACTCTTCGTTTGGTGTCTGGAGAGACGGCGGGTCTTAGCTGCGCGTGCTGCTGCGTTGTGATGAGATTGCACCCAGGGTCGCGTAGCTTGGCCGTCAGCATTCTGCCGGAGCATTCGGTGCCATCCCCGTGCCAAGAGCGCAGAAGGGGGACGCGTGTGGCAAATGGTGGGCAATGTGGCGGAACTGTGTTCTGAGCTCGTCTCAGAACGTGGATTTGCTAACGCTGCCGAAATGGGTATTTTGTGCTGGGGGAAGAGGAAGTGCGTGGAGAGGATGGGCAGAGGGAGGGGTCTAGACATTTGGGGACAGGAGAAGGGCTCCAGCAGCTGGATTGTTGGTTGTCACTGAAGTGGTGTACTGGGATTTAGGGGTTAATAACCCACGTCTCAGTTGTACCTCATTATCCAAAGGATGGCACTGTATTGGGGCCAACACTGACACAGAGGGGAGAGTGCCCCCTATTAACCCCCCCTCAGCCTGCAGCACAGCACCCCCCTAGCACTGCACTGGCACCTTGGGGGTAATGCTGATTCAGAGGGGAGAGCGCCCCCTATTGAACCTCCCCATGCGGCTCCTGGTATTACAGTGTCCCCTAGCACCTGAGTGGAGCTCAGAAGAGAGAGCGCCCCCTATGGGCCCACCCGCGCCACAGCCACTGTAGGCTCAGGTCTTGTGCAAACAATCCCGGTTCCTTTTAATCTACAAGATCTGTCAAGATCACAGCTCCTCCAAGGAGTGTCCTATGTAAGAGGGGACTTGGGGGTTCTGCAGGTCGGGGGGTTCTGTGCCCAGGATGTTTAGTCCCGGGGAAACGACGCACAGCTCTGTCGGGAAGGCTTATGGTTCGGATCGCCGATTGGTCTGTTTGCTTTTCGACTTGGCTGTCTACCATCCAGCCTTGTTCCAAGCCCCAGTGATGGCTTGTCTCCCACCCTGCCTCTCCTCTGGGGCCCATTATAACCAGCCTGTCTGCAATTTGCGGGGATGTTTCTCAGTGTGGTACTCCAGCAGCTTGGATTTCGGGGCTGCCATAGAGTCTAACCTCTTTGGGCAGCAGGAAGGAGAAGTGTCTCATGGGGCTCATGGCGTCCTTGGCCCACTGACCTCATGCCATTGACATCTGCTGAGGGACCATATGCAGCGTCCTGCCACCATGTGACCTAGTTAGAGCCTGAGAACTAGAGCAAATAACTACACCCTCCACACACACACCATGTGCATCCCCATTGTGTGCTCAGAGATCACAGTCAATCTCAGCCAGGGGGTGAGCCAGAGGGAGCAGTCAGTGTGCATTGGCATCTCCCTGGGTGGGGAAGCAGGAAGAAAGGGGTGTCCCCTCACCCCCAAGCTGCAATGTTGTTTGGAGAAGCAGTCTGCCCATCTCAGGGATTGCAACATCCCAGCTCCCTGCAGTCCGGGGAGCCAATGGCAGTGCGTGGAGTGGGCAGGGCCCACGGAGCCCCAGCAATGCCCATTGTGTGAGCTGTGAAATATTAACTCTGCAGCAGCAGGCGCCTAGCACAGAGAGATCCCAGCTACACAGGACCCAAAGCCAGCCTGCATTCGCTGTGTGTGCTGGCCCGTGCAGGGAGCTGGGCTCACCCCCGGCTGGCTGAGAAACGAGGGTCCATGCCGCTCGTGCAATGCCTCCTGCTGGCTGGGGCATGGTTTGGTTTGTGCCATGGCAGGGGCCTCAGGCATGGGTGGCACCTTGGTCTCTCCTGTTCCCTGCCCGTAGCACACAACAGTTTGATCTCCTGAGGACTGAAATGCTTTGGTCGAAGCGAAGGAATTGAGCCCAGCACAGGGGTATTTGGGTGACCGGTAATGCCTGTGCTAGGCAGGGGGGCAGCCTACATCATCTCATGGTCCCTTCTGGCCTTAAACTCTAGGCAACAATGAAAAAGAAGAAAAGCGGCGCATTGGGAGCTACCGTGTGTTAAAGGGGAGCGTGATACATGTCTGACGGAGAATTACGGGGCTGCCAGCGACAATCAAGACTGAACTCAGGGAAGGCCCCGGCTGGGTGCAGGTCACTTGCCAAGGTGTATCTCATTTAATCATTTCCCTGTTAGTGCAGGGGCCTCGAGCACTGGTGCACCTCAGTCCCACCCATTCTCTGCCCGTGGCACGGAATAGTCTATCTCTTTTTTGCTGCTGGTGGCCTGTGATATACAGGCGGTCAGACCAGATGACCTAGTGCTCCCATCTGGCCTTAAACTCCAGGATGCCTTTCTGTGCCTCAGAGCTTTATTGGTCCCCTAGGGCCTTCCAAGCTACATGTGTAAGGAGACGAGGGACCCTCTGTCCTTCCTTACACACGATGCAGCAGAGAGATCAGCTGGCAGCTGTCTAGCAACTGCTAGCTTCCTTGTTTTGTCCTTTTCCTTTGGACCCCCTCTCTTCAGGATCCATGGGGCCAGAACCTGGGTCTGTAATGCCTAGTGCCTGAAGTTGTCTGGGCAGCTCCACTGATGTCTGGCCAGCTGTGACTCCCAAGCACACTGTCTCTTTTGGTCTCTGACTCCTGACTCTTGCTTATTGAACCTGGCCTAGCGAGTCCTCTGACCCCCAGCCCATGTACTACAGTCCTGAGGCTAACCTCAATGTGTGGACACCACCAGCCCTGCTGTGACTGCTAGGCCAGACTGCCTCCATCCCAGTTCCTTATGCTTTCCTCCAGGAGGTTCCATCCGGAAATCTCTATTAAAGGAGAGCTGAGGTTACAAGACTGGGTGCTCAGAAGTCAGGACAGAACAGCGTATCCGTTAGCTCAGGAGAGTCAGTATCCCAGGGCTTGGCTCGCTGCTGAGCTGAACACAAGTTCCATCACAGCAAGTGGAAATGGAAAAGCTGCTGCCCTGGGGGAACAGGGCGGGGTTGTGCCCTCCGGTGAATTTTCCCTTTCTGAGTTTCATGCGCTCAGCGAAGTGGGTGATGCTAGGAGAGGTGGCAGTACGGGGAGCAGGCTGACCAGCTACCAATAACTATCCCACCTCGCTCTTATCAACCATTTTACATCAGTAGATGTCAAAGCCCTTTACAAAGCGGGTCAATGTCATCAGCCCCGCTTTACAGATGGGGAAACCGAGGCACAGAGAGAGGTAGTGACATGGTCAACGTCACCCAGCAGGCCAGTAGCGGAGCTGGGAATAGAACCAGGTCTCCTGGGTCCCAGTCCATTGCTCTGTCCACTAGGCCTCATTGCTTCCCAAATCGCCCCACAAGCCCACATTTGGGGTGCTTCATCCCAGAGACTTTCCTTTAATCGGTTTACTTTGGAGAGGCACATGGCCAGGTCTCCACAGTCGGATTTGTATCCTGAAAAAGGGCCGGAACCAGGAACGCTTCAGAATCACTAACAGCGCCAGAGTCAGAAACAGGGCCTGTAAGAGCCTCAGCACTACAGAAACTCTGCCAAGAGTCCTATCAGCAGAACGGATGTCAGCGATTGGGTGACGTGCCTCTGGGCCGCCTCCCACTGCCAAAGTCCCAGGGCACTGAGCTGGGTGTATTTCAACAGCTCCTGAATCTTTAGTCTCTTTGGGTTGGAAGAAGCTGTCGGGTGCTATGTGCAGCCCTCAGCCTTGAACTTCAGCAGCGGTGCAGCGCCAAGAGACACAGGCACAGCCAATCTGTTCAGCTTCAAAGCAGGCACCCAAAAGATACCTTTGGTGCCTGTGGAGAGCAAGAGGACTCCTGCCTGTCCTCAAAGCAAAGCAGACCCAGCCGATCTCTTCGGGGCAGAAGGACTGGAGCGGTGTCAAAGATGAAACCAATCCAGCATGAGGCCTTGCACCTGGTAAGCTCTGTATCCTGCCCACAGGAACCTCCGCCATCTCCCTTACTCGGCGTGATTTTCTGTTCGAGGTAGTGGTGGGCTGTTCCCTGCCTGTCAGACAGTGCTGGGTGGGAGTCACACCTAGCTCCGGTCACTCTGCTTTGCAGCAGCAGATCACAAAGCGCTATACAGAGGAGGGCGGGCGCATCACCCCCATTTTACAGATGGGGAAACTGAGGCACAGAGAGGGGCGGGACATGCCCAAACAGGCAGCAGCAGAGTCAGGGAGTGGGTCCTACCACCAGCCTGGGACTCAGGACTCCCAGCCTCTCCTCCTGACTTTGCTGCTGGCCCTGGGCAAGTGAGTTTAACTTCTCTGTGCTTTAGTTGCCCCTCCGCTGTCAAATTGGGGTGCATTAATCCTCCCTCGGTCACAGGGCTGCTGTGCTGAGTGAGTGATGTCTGGAAAGGCCTCGGTGGTCCTCCGGTGAAAGACCCCTCGTCTCCGTCACACAGCCCTGCTTGGTCCCTATCAGTGCCACTCTGAACCCTTGGGATCATCATTCTCCCACCTTCCCCAACATGCTGTCTGCAGCAGAGCAGTGCTGGGTGCTCCTGGGAATGCCTCAGGAACCAAAGACCCCCAGCTGGCCTTGCGCTGAGCCGAAGGGAGGCCAGTGCGCTCGAGCCGGCAGTTGCTGAGGGGTGGTTCCTGGGTTAGGCCCCGAGGTGGAGGACCCTGGGGGCCTAGCATCAGTCCCTGTGGTGGGCAAGGATAGCTTGGATGGTGGTTGTTGGGGACCTGGGCTCAGTGCTTGAGATGAGCAGGCGTGAGTTCTGTGGGGCTTGC